CAACCCCCTCCCCCTTTCTCCATCCCTCCCTCTCTCTTTCTCTCTTTGTTTCAGCACATGTAAATTACATTAATAAAAAGAATAGGAGAGCGAAATATTGGAGCGTGAGGATGTACAATAATTAATGAAAGGGTAAGCCGTTGTAATATTAAGTTTCTAAGTACTGTTGTAATATAGCTAGTGGAACTGATAAATACTCATCATCATCATCATCTCTCCCTCTCTCTCTCTCTCTCTCTTCCTCTCGACTCGCCGCTGCGATAAATCCGCGCGATAGTCCGAAGGATCGCAATCATCAGCCCGGCGCGCGTTCACGCACGTCTCTCGTCACTTGTCAATCGATAACAAGGCCATTCGAATGCCCCTGCGTGCACCTCGACCTCTCTCGACTCTCCTCTCTCATTCCCGCGCCCGCTCCCACCGTCAACCCCTCATCGTCGTGAGGTCCGGTCGCGAGGACGATTTGACAGCGCGAAGGAGAAGAACGCACCTCGGAAAGGAAGACGGACGGGGAGACCAGAGAAATGGCCGTATGTGTTCATTTAAAATTACTCGATAAAATTTCTTCGTAAAATCAGCTGAGAAATCAACTCATGAAACATCAGTACTTAAGAGGCAACTTGTACATTGATTTCTTTGCCACGACAGAGCATAAAATATGCCGTCTGAATGATTTTTCTCCGTGCGAGACGCGTCGCCAACAGAGGAGAGAACCGTGTCGGAGGTGCGCGCGAGGAGGGACGCGGCGTCGGTGTTTCGGCAGTCGAGTGTGCGTGTGCGCGTGTGTGTGTGTGCACGCGCGCGCTCGCGGTGGAGAAGACGAAGGGTGAGAACGGCAGCCGATGGGATGGGGACAGGTCGGTGACGGTTATTTTTGGAATGTGGGTCACCCATAAACCCCAGCTTGTCCCGTGACGTCACGGGATCGTCGTCGTGGCAACAGGGACGCCGGGTCAACTACCTCCGGTTCAGAGGTAGCTCTTTCTCTACCTCCCTGCCGCCGATCACCATCGCTCTCTCCTTCCTTTCACCCTTTCCCGCGGTCTCCTCTCGAGCGCACCACGTTCAACCGCGTCGTCCTACCCTCCGGGGGAGCTTTCCACCTGCGATCCCCACCGACGGGAGAAGGAATAGGTTAGAGGTTACGACACCGCGGCTGCCGCACGCATCGAGAGAGAGAAGGGGAGAGAGAACCTGCGCTATCTCTTATCCACCTCCTCCGTTCGCCCCCTCGTCACACTTTTATCCCTTTCCTCTCAGACCCATGACACCGAGAGGGTCCGCCTTTTTGTTCTCGTGCACGCACCAGTTGTGCCGGATTTAGGCTCTAATACCAGAGGTGAGCGTCAAGGAGGGCGATTACGCAGGACGAGCGATCGAGCACGTCGACAGTGTCGAGCGTGTAATTATGGTCTTGATATTAAGCGATCGCGGTCAATGCAGGCAGGTCCCCGGAAAGTTATATGTGGGCCGCGAGGGAAGCGTTTCACACCTGATCGCGCGGCATTTCGGCGAGCCCCTCTCTGGAAATGAGTTGTTTGCAAAAACGGAGCTGCCTCGAGTGTTATCTCGGCTCGAAGATACACGTGAGATCGAGCGCAATTAATCGAGTATTTTTCTCGCAGGCTCCATCGCCGGAAGTACGATGTCAGAGGAATCCAAGGCGATCCGCTGCGACATTCGTCCCGGGTTGACAGCACTCACAGATGTAATGAATGTAGACCGAACCGTGAAGCGCGGCCCTGACGATCAGATGGGAGAAAATAGAAAGAGACGTTTACAGATGCCCGTCTCTCTTTAAAGAGATGAAGGGATAGCATATAGGATGTCCCAAAACCTACGTATGTTCTTAATATGACAGACTCGCTGGGACATTCTAAGACGAAAATTTCGATATGAAAACGTCGAGACGATGATTCCCGGGATATAAGCGATCGAAGCGGGGCTTTTCGTAAATTAAACTTCGAACGACTAAATGGACAAGAAAATGATTTTCTTCGGTCAATTTCAAGTGTTTTTCTATTCTAATTCTATTTTATTGAACTAATAATTTAGACACGCAGCCCATTTACTATTTTACATGTATACCAGTAAACGTATATTATATTCGATTCTTTCTTTAACTGATATAAACTGCAACGCCTCAGACATACCCGTAATTCGCCCTCTTCTGTTACACTGAAATATAATTCTCATTCCTTGGTTTTTGCACAATTTTCCTCGCAAGTTTGTCTTACTCAATCCCAACAATATTGACGCGCAGTCGACATTTTTGTACATTCATCTCAGAATAGCCCGAAGAATTTATCATGTTAAGAATATATGTTGATTCTGAGACACCACGTGCAGCTAAGCGTCCAATCGCGAGCGCGAATCAGAGAGAGAAAGGGATATGGCAAATATTTCAGCGAGCCCGAAGCTGTTCAAATCTCCCGACTCGTTCGAATTGCTCCGCAGTTCGAAGTTCGAGCACACGTGGGGTGACTGGCGCACCACTTTGCATCGTCGATCGCAATCCTGCAGGAATCTGTATTATTCACCCTTAGTAAACCGTCCGACCAACCACGAAGTGAAAGCAAAGACCGTCGGTTCTACCCGGGATTTAGCGTGTGCGACAAGTCGTTGTGTAACAACCTCCTGTCGGTACATTTTGTGTACTGAGAGAAAAAATTAAAAAAAGAAAAGAAAAAAATATTCATTCCACAGATAAAAAAAAAGTTACTGGAGATTAAGAAATTCTTTTATTTGGATAAAATAAACAACTGCTTTCACGAAAAGTTACAGACGCAAGAATATATATTTCCTCATTTTCCACAAAACGTTTTCCTAATGTGAAAATATGTATATTGGTATAGATAAATATGTTATTACAGTATCCGCCGAGTAAATGTCTCTTAACTTACTTTTCTCAGCGTGTGAAATCAGCAAGGATGACAATTGCAGAAATGCGGTCTCACGAAGGTATCTAATATATTTTACCGTAGGTTTGCGTATATCACATGTCGGATTCGTGTTATCATCCATGTTGCGATGCAAGATTTACCAGCAAGAGGTTATCAAACAACGGACTCTTCAGTACACGTTAAATCCTGTTAAAGGCTGTCGGTCTTTACTCGCGTCTCGCTGATGGCACCACGCATCTGCCTCGACGAATTCGTTCCACTTGTTTCCCCCTTTATCTTTTATCTCTGTACGGGCGCGGATAATACAGAAGCAACACGTGATATATTATTGCGATTCAGATTAACTATTAACGCTGAACTATAATATTAAACAATTGATCAATTTGTTGCGCTCGTTCTCCGCCTTCCGGACGAAGCTACTTCAATATCCGTCATTTCCTCGGCTCAAATCGTTCGCTGATCTCCTTGGTAAAATTTCAAGCATACTTGCCCCTTCGCATCGTGCGGATATCTATGGAAAAATCCACGACAGATTCACGAAGATCGTGGAAGCTTGAAACGTCAGAAGAGCGACACGGCTATCAAATTGTGGCGTATGAAAACCGAAACACGCTCGAACGGGACGACAGGGTTAAAAATAACAAAGACGTGAAGCAAACGTTGTGCATCTGTCCGCGCGAGATGGTTTCTATCTGCGAGAAGATTTCTCTACGCCTTCGCAGCTAAAGGCGAGATGGGGAATTACGTCGGATAATGATTGTGATTTTATTCGGACGTAAAAGTTATTACATCCTGTAGACTCATTCAGACTTATTTACTTATTGAATAATCCTCGTAATAACAGCTCGGTATGTAATATAACATTGCGGGCGCCACATAATAACGTCAGGTAACATGATATAATTATTGGTAACTAAAATAATTATTATCAACGATGACGACGGCACGGCGTGTATTTATAAATGCGCCGCTGCGCAATAATAGCGCCCGCGTTCTGCATCGTATAATTAGCTTCATTAAAATTAGTGTTGCGGGAATGAATCACGCGGCGCGTTTGGCAGCTTTCGCGGATAAAGATAAGGAATATTTCGCGAGACTCGCATAGGACGTACGCAACTTGTAGCTCGGAGCCAGCAACTTCATTGAATTTACATGGCGACATTACGGCTGGTGCGATTGTCTTTACGTTCGCGAAAACGTCGATGTTCTCAGCAATACCACCGGCTGCCACCTTGACTGGCGCCAGACAGCTGCAAAATGAGACATTCGGATGATACCGACAATACCTCAGTTTTGCCGCACGCTGGCCTGTGAACGGAACTTCAATCATTATCGCAATCTCGAAATCATTCGTTTTCGCGGCTTCGGTTTTCACGTATCGTTACAACACGACATCTCACGCATTCGCGCTCACCCGCACGGATATTCCAAGCTTTTATCTCGACTATTCACCATTCCCCATTATTTACTAGATTTAGATTTTAGCAAATATGTTATACACATTAGACAGAATATTACAGAATTATCAGACGGAGTGTTATCACACAGAAAAAAAGTGCTACATTCGAGTAAGTAATCGCTCCAATATTCCTTGACAAATTTTTACTTCGGTCAAATAATACTAGATCCTAGTGAAATATTTTCCAAGTATATTATCCACGTTATTTGATCCAAGTGAAATTCACATAATGCGAGTGAAAAATAGGTCGAGGAGTATCGAAGTGATTATTTACTTGAATTCAGCACTTTCTCCCTGTACAGCCGTCGAAAGAATATTTTCTATTTTATATTCCTTCAGATACTTTTCCCTCAGCGTATCGTTCTCGAATAACATCGTCTTAATAAGCGGCGCTTGAGGGCGAACGAGTTCAAGACCGCTCCGTTCTCACCTCATGCGAGAGCCTCGGTATTACGACGAGATATCATACAACGATCCCCCCCCCCCTCGACGGGGACGTAAGCGAGCGAACGAGCTTAGCGACGTACGCACCGTAGCGAGCGGGCTCGGCTCCGTTTTCAGTTTCCGATTATTTTTGGCAGCAAGCGGGAGCGGGCAGAGCTCTCGCCTAAAAATGCTTACGACCAATGGCGTATCGTCATTGGCCGCGACGTACCACGTGAACGGGCCGCGGTGGTAGTTCACCGAGTCGAGCGGGTATCCACGACGGCACAGTCAGCTGCCTAAGGTCCGGTTGGCTAGTCGCAGCCAGCAAGTTTCTCTTCACAAGGTAAGAGCCCACTACGACCCGTTGTCCTCGCCGTTGTGCCTCGCCGTGAGAGCGTCCTGGAAGCGGTCCTGCGCGTTCTCCAGGGATGGAGAACCTTCGGATAAATGATCGAGATCAAAAGCGAAAGAGAGAGAGAGAGAGAGAGAGAGAGGCAGAGAGAAAGATGGAGGACTCGCGCGATCTCTCGCTCAAGAATGAGTTGTCGGCTCCGGAAGGCTCCCGATGTCCGATAAAGGAGGAGGATTGAGAAGTTTCCGCTGTTCTATCGAGTGCCAGTGAGACGTGCTTGTACGAGAGATACTCCTCGGGGATGCCTCTCAAGGTCGCGCCGGTTGATGCCGCAGGAGCCCCGGGACAGTGACGGATCGACGATCATCGGCGGCCTTCTATCGTTCGACTCGAAAAGTGAAGCGAGCTTCCGAGTGATGGACGACGGTACCTTCGGTCTTTTCTCTCTCTTTCTCTTTCTCTCTCTCTCTCTCTCTGTTTTGTCCCGAGTCTCCGGTCGGATATTTTTCGGACTGTTTCGGCGAGATACACGTGCGTCGATCGTAAAGAATCTCGTCTCGCCGCTTTCTCAGCGGCCCTCATCCTCACTTCTTCGATTCGCACCACCCGAGTCAGCCGGTCGGACGGGAGGAATCAAGACGAGACGGAATTAAAAGGGATTATTATTCCAACTTTTCAGTCGGGGGCAAGGGGAGGTGAACTCTCTCGGGAAGAGGCGCGTGTAATCCTCGATTTCTCGTTCCTTCGGGATCCAGCTTCTCTCTCTCTCTCTCTCTCTCTCTCGCTTTCTCTTTCTCGTCGTCAAGTCTCTTTTTCCAAGTGTCTCGCGCAACTTAATGAGATTCGGCGAGTCGTCTATTTTTACGGCACCATCGCGCGCAACTCGCCTCTTTGACACCGGAGACGGCACGCACCGTCCGTAACGTCTCGATGCGGTAGGACGTGTCTCGGAATGGTGCGCGAGCGAGAGGAAATCTATACTTAGCGAAGGCGATCGCACGTTACGAATATAAAAGGAGGCGCGCGCGCCGTATGTTCCCCTATGGGCGCCGGCTGATGAACGCGAACGATCGGCCGATCTCTCCGCTCTTTCCCGGGAAGATTTCCCATCGCCCAACGGTGTCCTCGCGGGAGACCCGTCGCCGATATTCAAGAGATCATTATTTCGTCGGGACTTCACTCTTTAGTAAAACCATCAATATTAGGCTACGAGAAAAAGCCGGTGCCGCGAATTTTTAATAGTGCAATGAAACAGAACACTTTGTAATTAATCGATCAATTATGCGAAAGAATATTCATAGAATATTCGGAACTGTTTCGGTCTATTTAAAAATCCCAGAAAGAGAGAGAGAGAGAGAGAGAGAGAGAAAAAGAGAGGGGATCGACTCTCGAAATTATGTCCCAATTATGCAACGCTCGTTCGGATTCCACATTCCAAACGTTCACGGGGAAACGTCGGGAGTTACAGAGATGGGGTGAAAAAAAGAGGGAAGGGGGGGGGGGAGAAGAACGCGCGGAGCACGTATGAAAAATGTATCGGGTAATTCCCGATCCCCGGCGTTTAACCGGGATAACCCAATTAATCGGAGAGATAACGAAAAGGAAAATGTTCGTTCCTGTGGAATTGGCAATTATTTTACAGATTGATCATTATTATTGTCGCCGCGCGCATCGAACACGAGGAGGAGGCGCGGGAGGGGAAGTGGGGAAACGAGAGGAATTACGGGGACATTTGTAAACCCCGGCGATGTCATAACCGGTGCTCCGGGCGCGCCATTTCACCCGCTACTAATGGCATCTTGTTTTACCATTGTCGAGCGTTCGTTTACAACGTTGCGCTACATTTCACTTGTGACTCGTTGCGGCCGTAGTATCGCTCCTAAGTTTTTCGCAACGTCGCGCGGGCGCGCAGAACAAGCGCGATCCATCTCCTCGCGAGCGTTCCCGAGCGCCGAGCGACCGTTGCGAATTATTATCTCTCCCTCCCTCTCTCTCTCTCTCTCTCTCTCGTTTCCCGACAAAATCGCGCAATTCCGATACGCGCAAGTTCACCTATATAAGTTACTCAAACTTCGCCGTCTGCCGCGGCGAAGAGAGGCGCTCCCGAGTCGCGTTATTTCGGCGCGCGGTTTCCCCACCGGCGAAACGAGCGCGGAAGTCCAATTAATAATCGGGGCGTCTCGTCGACGTGCTCGACGTGCGTGTATGTGTGTGACATTTCCTCCCTCCGGCTCGACTCTCGGACGAAAAGTCATTCGACGAATGACGCGTGTAACCGGCGTATAAAACTCGATCGGCCGTCTCACTCGCATTCTCTCTCTCTCTCTCTCTCTCTCTTTCTCGGATGGCAACGCGAAACTTTGTTTATCCGTGCGTCCCGACATCGAATCCAGTTGAAGCCGCCAACGACCACGGGACATCTAACGGGGTCTGTGCGTCCAAATTTGGATCGCCAACGCACCCGACGTCCTGACGAAAGTGGGGACGACCGGCGTCTATTTTCGCGCGGTCGGATATTCTATACGGCGGTCGCGCCTTCTCTCTTTCTCTCTCTCTCTCTCTCTCTCTCTCGCTCTCTATCTATCTATCTCTTTCTCTCTCTCACTCTCATGCCGGTGCGTTAAGCGGCGAAAACTACGCGCATAGCGGCGGTGATTTATCGACTACAGCGAAAATCGATCGTATTTATCGAGTCGAGGGGGTGGGAAACACGACGGGGGTGCGCAAGAGAGGAGGGGGGGCAGGCACGTCGGCGATAAATATCTCCTGGAAGTGTCCGCTATTATTTCGGCCGCACGGACGGATGAACGGACGGGACGCGTCCGAGGTTTTCATTTAACTATTGACGTCACCCCGTCATTATTTTCGTCCGCTCCGTGGCGGCGACGCGTCGCGGAAACGCGACAGCGTACTCTGCCCTTACGACGGATAACGAATAAATATGCATATGCGAAAAAGTCCGGCGCGGTTACCGGCGCGGTAACCTTGCGTCCCGCTCGTGACGTAGAGCCGCGGACAACGCGTTTATATTGCCGGCTCGCTTATGCACGCCCCTATTTTATTTTAACGACTAGGGTTCCGACGGTGCGCGACGCTATTATTAGCGCGATGTGCCGGGGGAGAGAGAGAGAGAGAGAGAAAGAGAGAGAGATTTTCAGCGACGCGCGCCGCATCGCCGTCGCGTGCGTGCGGATTAGAAAAAAGGGAGGAAGAAAGAAACGTTTGTATAGTTCCGTGTCGTTTTTGCTTCTCTTCTTCTAGGTAGACGCGTGTAATCACCAGACTCCACCATGGCGGACGATGAGGTTAGGTGTGTATCCGAGGCTGGGCTTTTTCCCCTTGTCTCTCTTCTTCTTCTTCTTCTTCTTCCTCCTCCTCGAGGTTCTTGCGACTTTATCGATCACACTGCCGAGTGAATGAGAACGAAGGAGGGACGACGCAGCGACGACGCGACGTGCCGCCCGAGCGCGACTCGAACACCGCCTTAATGCAATCTTTTCCTTTTCATATCGTTCGCCGTTTTTTTTGCGGCGGAACCCTCATCGACCGATCGCTGATCTTCGGATTTGGACCGGAACACCGCCGTAACCACCGAACGCCTCCTGCGCGTCCCCTTGGCCCGTGCAGTGAAATTAGCGTTACCGTCGAAAGGTATGCATCGTTTGGCTGCATGTCGCGTATTATTATACGAGACCGTTAGCATAGACCACCCAGTCCGGCCCCAGCGAGACGATAGTTTATAGACCTTGTCAATAAAAATAGAATAGCGACACCACCTTCAATTTACATGCGCATCGAAAAGTGTATTTGACGGCAGCGGTTTCCGTGCGTCCAACGCGCGAGATCTAATCTCGTGGCTCCTGTTTCCTCCCATCGGCCATCTCGGCTTGACCTGACGTCAGAAGTGAGAGCGGTAGAGGAAAATACGAGCTGGGTTCTCGGAAAATGCATTGAAATAAACCGATCGCCGACGTGCTGCACCGTCTAGATTTCGTCACGTCGCTCTTTGCGGCTATTCGCGGATTTACCGGCGAGATTTCGGAATATTTTGCAAATCCGCCCGATCGATCGCGGCCGTCAATTTTACGGGACCGTGTCTTTTTATTTCGACCGTACCTCGCAAAGATTTCGAGCGTGTTGCATTTTCCTCGCTTCTCTGACGTCGTAAATCAAGATGACCCCGGGGAGAGCGACCGGCAGCCTTCGAGGGATCTCACAATCGATTTCTCCATCCGTCTCCTTCCCCCGCGCAATTTGCAGCTCCGGAAGACTCGGTTTCACTCACGGCTAAGATAAACCAACTGTTTCTATTATCCAGTTAATAAATTTCAATAGTCCGATTTTCACAGATAATCGCACCGCGTGGATGAAAGTTTCTCTATTTCTCTCTCCCCTCGAGCTGCGTGCGCTTTATTACGACGCATAACAATATGCTCCAAGGATTAATATGGAAATTTGGCCTCAAATACACGTTTCCATGAATAAAGCATATATATATATATATATATATATTCCCCTGCAATATTATACTTCTCTCTATACACGTTATCAAGCTTTCACGTTGCAAAGCTCCGACCGTCGAGGGCTTCGAGCAGACCGAGCCTCGTTTTTTTCTCCCACACACACACACACACGCATACTATACAGTGGCGCGTTTTCAAGCAGCTTAGTAGAAGATATAGATATGGTGGTCAAGGATGAGCCACGCAGTTTGCGCCCCCTTGAAAAGATTTAAACATGCTACGTAGAATGACGAGGGCGATCATAGAAGTTCGCTTTTCGTCGCCCGATCATAGCCCCCTTTACAGCCTCCTTTCTCCTTCGCGCGGGCGGTCCTCCTTGTGATCCTCGGCCCTCCTCGTCGGTTGCCCCTCCCGTGCGTTTTCGCCGTGCGATTTTTGCCTCACGACGATAACTGCATTCGTTCCGCTTGACGAGTCGTTCGTTCAGCCGCGCATCGGCAATTTTCGCGGCGTCCTTTCCACATCGCGAAAGAGAGAGAAGGACATCCGTTCGCGGAAGAGAGCGAGACGTTAGCGCAATTTCAATGACTTCAACTCGAGACCGAGAGTCCGCGTGCTCTCGAAACGATTCATTCCCCCTTTGAATCCCTTTATCCCGGCGATTACGTCATCATTCTCGCTTAATGTCCACCCTGCGGACGACAATTCTTCGTTTACGCGGCAGGATAGTTTTCTTTCCGTATAATGAAGCCAATTTGCACGGCGCGCCAGCCCGCAAATGTAAAAGTTAATGAAGGTTTTTGGCCACGCGCGCGCTCGTGCAATGGGAGTATATATCCCGCGAATTTTCACCGTAAAATTTCCGCTCTGCAGGAAAAGGAAATGGAAAGGGACCGACGTCGTATTACGACCGACATGCCCGTTGTCTCCGCTGCATGCTCCACGGCGGGACTTTTTGCCTGATTTATCGTCACACTCGCGTCCTTATTTCGGCATTATTTAACGCCGTCCTCTCCGCCCGTATTCTTCTCTCTCTCTGTCTCTTTCTTTCTTTTTCTTTCCGATTTTACGCGTCCTCTTTCTCGCTATTCGAGCGAGCTATTTGTCACTCGCACGATGTCCTTAAAGGAGCGAATTCTTCAGATTTTCAATTGCGGATACGTTCCCGGGGAGATTCCGATTCGTCGATCTCATAATTTATATTTCACTTTGCACTTTATCGTTACGTAATCTCTCTCTTTCTCTTTCTCCCTATCCTTCTCTCTCGTCCTCGTTCTCGCTCTCTTACTTTGAATCAGCCTGCGGTTTTCGATGTGGTTTTTTCATCGTGGGGTTGTATTCGCCAACGGCCCGTCCTTCTATCACCCTTCACGATTCCTTTCGCTCGCGATGGCACGACGGAGAAATTTTATTTTTGAGACGTGTCTATCGCGAAAGACGTGTCGACGCGAGCGTTCTCGATGGGAACGTCGAAAGATCGGTCGGCCGGCGTCCATTTATTGATTGAAAACCGTTCCATGAACACAGTTTTGCGGAAAGTTCGTTTATTCGGTGCGCCGGCTCGGGGAGTTGTCGACGCAGGATACGACTCACTTCTAGAAACTCCATATTGATAATTACGAAGTTTGCACCTGCGCGCGTACGAGCACACACGTACACACATATATGTATTATTTATACATTAGATTACTTCAAACGTGCATTTTCGAGCTATTTTACTTCCATCATTCTTGGAGTCGCATAAAAAATGCCGGAAAAATTGACGACAAGATTGACAATATTGCACAGTATCATATAATATTTATTCTTAATTCTTGTGACTGTCTTTGCCATCGTGAGCTATCATCTCCGAGGTATCCAACGGGTTTCTTGGAAAATATATTCTTGCTTCTATTTTTTTTCTTCGTCCTCTTCCTTTTCCTCTTCCTCCCCTCTTCTTCTTCGATCGAAGCTAATCGGAGAAGTTAAGATTCCGAGAACAGCACCATAGACAAACACAAAACAATCGAACAGACTTGGGGTAAAGTACCAGAGACACCAAACACTGGCATGATGAACGATTTCTGTCCGTCCCGTGTGACAAACTCGCCCTTCGAGCCGCATGCATCACTAACGCCTGATATTTTTCACCGCGATTGTAAACGCACGTTATTAATACACACCTGCGTGATATTTGTTATTTCACGTCGCAGTGCAGCTGGCAGCGTGCACCGTAGCGCAGAACAGCTTGATTACATCGTAGCGTATCGAGCGAACACCTCGAATTTTTCACAAGTTCGGCCGAAATTTCAGCGAAAAAAGAGAAAAAGGAAACAGAAAAACGGGGGCAAAAAGAAACGCCGTGGGCGCACAGCGTGTGTGTTGCGCGTCATCTCGCTCGCGCGACATGCGCGTCGCAAATTATTAATAGCGTCCGCAAGCGACGAACTCGTCAGCGGCTACGGCGTTTCTTAAGACCGTGACACGTTGGTTACCCAACGACGCGTCTCGCGTGCTCGAGCGCGGTGTCAAGGTTCGAGAGGCGTACCTCGTAGACTTAGATACATAGACTGCGCCTTTTTATGAGAGGTTTTTGCGAAGGCAAGCTCGAAGGATGGCTATATTATCCTTCCTGCCCACAGAGGCACGCTATCTTCGTCCGGCTTTCTCCAGCAGGAGTCAAGCTAGACAGAGATCGGATGCCTGCGGTAACAGGGACGTCTTTGCTCTTTGCCTCTTGTGAAGCGCCCAGTCTACGTGCACAGGCAATAACTATTGCCACCTTAGATTATCTTCGAGATAGGGAAATATTTTTATTCGTCGCTTATTAACGGGTCGATATGCAAAATTTGATATGCAGAAAGAGCGGGCGGAAGTAGCCCTCCGGAAAGTATCGGAAGAACGGGGGAATTTTTTGATACATTTAAAATACGAATTAAGGCAACGTGAAGATCGTTATTTGGCGACAGAAGGCAAGTGTTAGACTGTGCTTGAAGAAACTCCCTCTAATAGAATTATGAAACGAGTCAACGGACCCGGAGTATTCGTCAGATAAAGCACAAATTCAGTTAATGCAGTTACGTCTTCCGTATGCGGTCCGATGAACATTCAACGTGGAAGACAGCTGGAGTGGAGGGGCGGGTAATTTCGGATGGTGCATATAGATCGAAGGTTTTGAGAATTTCCGGACATACAATATTATGGTTATGCAGACTGAATGTGAAAAACACATCGAAGAATGTTCGTCTTTTTTCCGAAATTTAAAAAAGAACTACGTCGCAATAATTAATTTTCGACAGACATGACGCGCGTTATCGGCGTTAAGATCGTTTGACTAGACGGGGAAACTATTTCTGAACTATTTCAAGTAGAGCGCCGTGATTCCCTTCTTCATAAGAATATTTGATCGACGACTAGATGTGAAGGTGGGGTAAAGTTTACAGAAAGTATTTACAGAAAGTGCTCGAAGTGACGTCCATTGGTACCGCAATGCGATTTTCCATCGGACAAATTCTCCCGTTCTCTCATATTTCGAAGACGTTCAAGGTGGCAATATGTATCGCCTGTGTAAGTCTGTGCAGCTTGGCGGCTGTATGCAGTAAAATTTCATAAAAATCCCCCGTTAAAAACGGTCGACGAAAACTTTCACCTTACTTTATACAAAATGAACGTTAATTTGACATATATCTGCGCGCTTTTAACACCCACCCCGTGTTGAAGTAACGCAAAAGTTTCGGACGAGCGGTGTCCTCAACACCAAATTTCCCACCGTGTAAGCAGAATTCGCGCGCTGCTTCTGCGCTATGTATATATATGTGTAGCGGCCGCACGACTGTTATTTTGATCCCTTTGTCGTGCTCGGCCGATTGTTGAAATTTGCGGGATGCGGGGCTAACGGAGATCGGCCGGAGGGATGAAAGCCGACGAAACGCGTAACGTCATGAGCGAAACGAAAGCGGCAGTTTCTGCAGGAAACGATATTACAAGGATGTTCGCCGGATGGCTGTTGCGCGCCGCTTAGAACGAGGACGAAGTTCTATCACTTGAGACAGACTCCATTAGCTCCGCATTGCCGCGGTATACGCGAAAACATGGTCGCTACGCTAATGCTTTGTAAAGTATTCCGTAATGGCGAAATCTGGAACACTGAGAGACGTAATCTCTTCTTTTCTCTTTCTCTCTCTTCCGTTCGTTCGCTCTCAGATCCTCTGAGAGATATCCTTTTATACAGTCGAAAGGGCTGTAAAAAGTGTTCCAGGTATCGCGTGCTTGCGACCCGGAGACACGAAGCGTACTAACGAGAAACTTCTCTCTCTCTCTTTTGCAGAGAAAGCGCATCGAGGATGTACGTAAGAGAGGAAACTAGCTATGAAACGTAGAGAGTCGCCTCTTAAAGGCCGGCCACTTACGGGACGGACGAAAGGAATCCTTTCGTCGGGACGGGAGCTTACGTTTGCTTTGTCACGGGAAACCCACGTCGAATATATTCACGCGTTAGCGATTTTAATTACGCGATAAAGCAATCGGAGGGACGACGACTTCGCGTCGCGTTTCGAGACGCTCTCTTTACGTAAACGCGCTACGGTAGATGATGAATTTCGAGTCTCGACGATCCCCGAATTGTTTCGCTAATAATTAAGCGCGAATTCGGCGCGGCGACGAGGCGGGATCTTTTTCTTTCTTCTTGTTTCGATTCTACGGTCAATGATCGTAACTCCCGTTATCGCGTCTCTCCGATCCGATATATAAGACCCGGGAAAGTTTTCGCCCGAGAAGTGCGGAGGGCGCGAGGGGGATGTTAGAGGAGTTCGAGTCGCGCAACACTTTCCGAATTCGCGCAGCGCCGTCTCGCGAGACGCCTGCTGCGAGGCTTTCACAGATGAGATGTTTTAAGGGAGTTTCGCCCGAAAAATGCAGGAAAAGAAGAGGAAACAGGCGGAGACCGAGAGGAAGAGGGCGGAGGTCCGCGCTCGCCTCGAGGAAGCCTCCAAAGCCAAGAAAGCGAAGAAGGGTTTCATGACCCCCGACAGGAAGAAGAAGCTCAGGGTAAGTCCGCGCTTCTTTGCTCCTCTCTTCCCTTCGAATTTCGTCCGCCTGCTGGAGAAAATCGCGGGATATCCTCTTTAAGACGGCCGAGTCGTCGTATTTCACCAGTACGTTAAGGTAAACACGAAGCCGCGTTAATTTCACGCGTCTCAGATCTCCGAACGGTACCAGCGAGCTTCAACGGAACCTCAACATTTACCAGGCCGAAACTCACTAGTCGCTCGAATCGTTCGCATCGATCAGACATTTTTCACGATTAATTCAATACATTTTTCCCACAGATGTAAGCAAAAATTTTTCAAGTTTCCAACATCGATTGTCTCACGTCGTGACAATCACAAAAGTCTATCCGGGAAAAGTTCCAACATCGACATTCCGAAAAGTTCGCGAATCCGCCCCAGCCATTCCTACATTACCAGATCGCTGATGTATTCGGCATTTTGACATCATGACATATCGCACCGTATTATATTCTATCACGATGGAAACGATTGAAAAGACCAATGAGTCTTGACCTTTCATCGGCAACGTGTAATTTAGCACCTACCGCCGGCAGCCTGGAACTTTGAGGACCAGCGCAAATTTCCACGCTGCATTCCGAACTGTATGAAAGTCTGAAAAAATAGTATAATAATATTGACACCGCAAAGTTGAATTATTTGAACATCCGAAAGTGAGGATTTTCGCGAGGAAGAAAATTGAGTTTCGTCCGAGAGGGAGAAATAATAAAATCACTTTAAACCTATTTTACAAGCATTTTGGAAGGATTAGGAACGAAAAGCCTTGGCATATCGAAATTAGCGTCAGAAGCATGTACGTGAAACGGGAAAAAAGTCCCGACAAATCACTGGCAAAGATACTTACGTGATCAGCGATCCGGATGGCTGAAGGCACAAACGCGTGTTCTAACCGTCCTTGTTAGAAAACGTACAGCTGGATACCGTCCATGTACACACTGCATTTCCCTCCACTGCGTTTCCCAGGAAGGGATATCCCGCTATCTGCCGGTTCGAAAATTCACAATCAAAATATCTGCCTTGAAATCCCCGCGATGCGGGGAGGATTAATCTGGTAAATGCTGAGGAGCCTCATCGAAACTTAGCGCTCGTTATATCTCGATATATCCGCCCGCCGGCGATCTCTCGTTTCCGATTTACCTCATTGCTCCGTCGCACGCGATAATCTCTTCTCCTAGCGGCGTCCGCTACCGCGGCGATATCCCGGCAATTCTCTCCGCCACCTTGCTTTGTGTCGGTTCCCCTTCCTCCCCCTTAAGAAAAGATTCCCCGCTGGTTCCCATCGTCTCTTCACGTTCTCCTGCCGCGGTGCTCGACCGTTCTCGACCGTTCCTCCCTGTTTTCCAGCTGCCGCCTTCGTCCTGCCGCTCAGCTCCGGCTTTTCCCGACTTCATCTCGCCTTTTTATCTGTACTTTATGGGCTCCTCCACACGGTTCCCCGCTCCCATCGTCGTCTTGCCAGGACACCTCGCACCTCCCCTTCCCGTCCGTTTTCTTACCACCCTGCCGCCATGCACCGTCACGAACGTTCGCAGTACATAAAGTTTCCCGCGCACGTATGCAGATTACCTCCTCGAGAATCTTTTCGCGTTTGCCGGCCCGGCGGAATGTTATTTTCCCGTAAATCCACCTTTTCACTCCTGCTGCAGGCTGTGTCAATATTTGCGATCCGCCGAATTCCGGCTGACGTTATTTCGCACGCTGACCGTGCGGGAGGGACCGAGAAAGCGAGCGAGCGAGGGCGTTTCGCCGCGTGTTCGAATTATTTCGCGTATAAATCGCGCACGGAGACGAGCTCGAGACGAACGTCGAGTCGCATCGTCCAGATCACGCGGATTCGATCGAGAAAAAGAGCAAATAAAAAAAGACAAGTGCGAGTATCGATACAATTTCAACACATCGTGCGCTACGACAATTTTACTGAAACTTTTCCCGTGCGGCTCTTCTCTTCAACTGTCACTGCAGTTGCAAAAAACCGGTCTTTCATTTTTTTTTCTTTCGTTTTTCACGGATTTTTCCGGTTTCTTTTCCGGGAAAAATTCGTTTGGGAAAAGTCGCGCGCGTTCGATTAAAACCTGTCGCATTTACTTCCATCCGTAGTGAAGATAATTACGTGCACTTGAAGTTACATGAAGTCGTTGTACGTTGTGCGTTAAGAAATATTATTGCGGCAATATCATTTAATCATTTTATCACTCGTTACGTTGAACCTTCTGAAATAAAACATACACGTATTCGGTGTGTTTTCGAGCACGTTTTACTTTTACGTTTATTCCTCCAATAAACGTGTGCATATTTAATAAGTGTTTTTGTAGACTCGCGCGTTAATTCGCATCCCATTTCGCTTCCGCGTTAATGCACGCGACGCGGATTTATAAATTCTAGATTCACGTACGAATGTAACAATTAATTGCCCGCTCGCGAATGTTGCCGGCTCTATTTATTTCGACGTGGGCGTTTTAACAAGCGATTAACCGATCGGCCGCGAACGATATCGGTGACTTCGTATTTATTAAATCAGCCGGACGTAATGATAATCCGCCTGATCGCGCGCTGATTTAAATAGTTTAAACCGTTTAGCGGCGGCGGACCGCCGAGCGAGCGAACGAGTCGACGGACGCTCTCGCATGTAAAATTACATTTCCATTTAAATTACGTCAGTTCGATTGCGCCGGTTAGGAGCCGATTTTCGGTGAGAGCTTCGGCGTTTGTTCGCATAGTAAATGAGCAAAATCCTTCCATTCCCTCTCTCTCTCTCTCTCTTTTTGCCGGCCGAGGTCTCACGAATATTCTGCCTCTTTCCAGTTGTTGCTGCGTAAAAAAGCCGCCGAGGAATTGAAGAAGGAGCAAGAGAGGAAAGCGGCCGAGAGGAGACGCATCATCGAGGAGCGCTGTGGCAAGCCGAAGATCGTCGATGACGCTAACGAAGGTACTTTGCTCTTCGTCACACACAGTCTCAGCGGTTCGCGTTAAATCTCGTATTCGACCTTGTCGTAGACGTTTTCCCGAGGCGTTTAACCGCGGCACCTCGGTGTCCGTCCGCAACAGTTGGCGTCGTACATTAATCATCTCCGTGTCTCTCGATAATGATCGCGATATCAAGAACGAGGATAAACGCGAACGGACGCGAAACGTCGACAAACCCCCTCGTCGTGTGCGTCGTCCACGAATGATTCCGAGTCATTTTCCCGGTGACCGAACGTCCGGGAATTCGAACTCTCGTCTGCGTAACGGTCTTCAATCGGACGGACGCATTTCGAGTCGAAATTCGGACTGTTGATCCTACAAATTCCCTCGAGCTCGAAAGGTCAATGGGGAATCCCAAGACAACACTATATAGACTGTTGACCAACCTTGGCGCTGCGAATGTTTACGTACTGCCGTTTTCCCACGTTGTGGACCCGAAGAAGCACTTATTCGAGAATTATTTCATACTCAATTATCTCAATATATTTGATCTGTCTTGAATCTTCTTTTATATTATCAATTTTAACGGGTAATTGATTAATTATGCAACTTATTCCTCTGTGTAGGATAAAATAATGTTAAATGATCTAATAAAGATTAATGGGTAACTCTTCTTTGTGTGTGAGAGAGAAAGAGAGAAAGTGTGGACGATAAATAAGTGTTAAATAATCTAACAAAGATTAATGGGGGTGAGTCAGACGAACAACAAACTTTTCTCTCCCCTGATCTCTTTAGTATTCTCTTTGGTAATCTCGTCGCTAGGAAAACTATTGAGATGACGGAGTGTTAAATAATTCTTGAACAAATCCGTCTTCAGAACTCAAGAAAACGGCAAGAAGTAACCGTTGTTACCGTCATCGAAAGACAATGTAGTCTGCACATTATCGCACCGCAAGATTCTCCACCGCTGCATCGAGTTCGATGGAAAGCAGCGGGTAATTAATGCGGAGCCAAACATTTCGACTCGGGTAGATGTGCGTTTGTTCGGGAGAATCAGCAGTACTTCGTCGAGTAGCAGTGATTAACGCCGATGCATTAGACGTTCATCCTCTCGCAGACCGGAAAATGATTCACGTTGCCGCACTCTCCCCGCCATTCTCATCGATTTCAGATTTGCAGATCGTCGTTTAGTCGGTTACCTTATGCGACGATCTCGAGAAAGCACGTCGTCGAAGGGTACGGCGACACAGTGGTACGCGATTTTCGATTTTTCGTTTCTCGTTACATATTATATATATATATATATATACATATATACCTGCACATTCTGTGAGACTTCGTTCCATACACGTGTATGCGTATATATGCCTAGAGAGACGTTCATCTTGAGCCCTTTTGCGAGAAACACGATAGCCCACAATACCCGAGACATGCACTTGTGTTTTTTTTTCTTTCTTGCGTTTACATATTCACCTGTGATGATGATGAACCCCCACACAGATACCCTAAAGCGCGTGCTGCGCGAATATCACAATAGGATCGCGTCGTTGGAAGACAAAAAATTCGACATCGAGTATGTCGTGAAGAAGAAGGACTACGAGGTACATTTGAGAGAGCAACAGTTGCGAGAACGTTATATATATTTATATATATGTATATATATATGTGTATATATGTATATACATATATATATATACACATGCAACGTGCAGAATAATAATAATAATAATAATAATGCGGCGTTCACGACAAAGTAACGATGGCTCAATGTTGTTCTTGCACTTTTGAGTGACGCGCCAATCTCCGCCCGGTTGCATGGTGATGCAGAGAGCGATGACGAACGCGAATTAGCGTTTTTGCACAGACCGTCGTCGCGAATTATGCAATTTTACGACGACACCTCGCGTTTATACTTAGAGCAACGATAATAGCGCTTGTGCGCGCGCGAGTTCGATGAAAATAACGTTCATGCATCCTCGCGTTACGCTCGCGTTACGCTGTAAAAAAAAAATCGTCAAAAACAACCCGGGATAAACGAGCGAAAATTTCAGGGTTGTATGTGGCAAACGCCCCAATTGTCTCGGCAAAATTTTCGGCATTTTTTGATCTCTCGTTCACACAGAACAGGCTCAAAATTTCGTTGAATGAAACTATCGTAAAACAAAACTCACCCATTACCGGCCGTATTTGTCGTACACACCGAGAGAAAAAATAACTGAAAATAAAAAAGAATATTTGTTCGGTGGATACTAACAACGTATCTATTTAAATCTAAATCTCTTATTTAAACGTGGGAAATAAATATAAAACAATTGCATTAAAAGCTACAGATTTAAGAAAATGTATATTTTTTTAGTTGAAAAAAATTGTCCTCAATGTACAAATATATATATATATATATTAGTGAACACCGAATAAATATTTTATATATTTTTGTAATACTTTTTCTTTCAGTGTACATATGATTTGTACAACTTTCCAGTCGGAGAGATAAAATCTCTCGTATTGTGCGCGGTTAGATCATTTAGTAATTGGAAGAACATTTCAATAGCTGAGAGAACATCTATATCATAGAATTACGTTTATAAATTTTGTTACTGTCTTTTACCGTAGGCCAAATTTTGTAGTTGAAATTCCTGCGTCGGATCGTCGACTGCCCCGAATTTTATTCAATTTCAATCGATTGCGGCTTGCGCGAGAGAATTGGGGAAACCCTGATACACGGTTCTTTTTGCCCCGGTCTTTCTCCTTTTTTTTTTCTTTCTTTTTTCAATAGATAAAACAACGCGAGGAACCGATGAGTACGGTGTGAATGAATCGTGCAAACGGTTTTCCGATCGGTGCTTTTTCCGCGTCGTCGCCACCGGTCGTCGTCGTCGATTTGGAATTCGAGCGACACTCGTCTTCAATCTCCACGGCCGGTCAGGATTTGCAATTTCGACGTCGTCGGCGCGGCTTTCATTCTCATCGACCGATAAGTAATCGTTATCGGGCAACTTGGCGCATGATTAACGGCTCTTTGTGGAAACTTGAACCGTTCGTCGTAGCTTCCGTTATTGTGGCCGGGCGAGAGACGCGAGCTTCGCATATTTCGTCGCACCGTTTTCCATTTACCTTTCTTTCTCTTTTCTTTTTGTTTCTTTATCTACGTTATAACACAACAACACCGCCGTCGATTTTCTTGGTTCTGTCCGCACTTGTTGTTTTACTTCGCATTTTAACGTGCGCGCGATTTCTCTCGCTATCTTCAATCTTTTTCTCTGTCTCTTTTTGTCTCTGTCCGTCTCTCACTCTCTCTCTCTCTCTTTTTTTCTCTTTCTCTCTGTTTCTCTCTGCTCTCTTCGTTTTAATCTTATCGCGAGTCTCTGTCGGACTTGATTGGTGATCTAAGAATTGTTGGACTATTCGCATCTTGATTATTGTGTTAATATCGCTTATTCACTACTCACACTATTCTCACACGAGACACCGTCGAAATAACAGCATAACATCGCCTCTGAAAACACGTTATAGGTGTCGAAACACGCTAAACACTGTGTCTTTTCAGCGTAGTGCGATATCTCTTTTACGATTTCTATTGTTCACACGAAGATCGTGTCGTCTGTTGCGGGATTGGGAGGTGACTCGTAACGCCGTCACTTTCTGCAAGTTACTTTTTCCCGGTAACGACTCGGTGACTCGGCGTGACTCATCTCTCCGTCGTTAACAATTACACGCTTCGGGCAACGATAACGACTACAATCATATACGACTACAATACGTTACTTTTCACGGTGAGATAAGAAACAGCAAATCGTAAATTAAGTTCTTCGAGGCTCGGAAGGATGAAAGGAAATCGCAGCGATTCTTGAGCGCTTCTTGAGCGACGATCACGATAATAATAACAATAATAATAATTCAAAGCGAGGCAACGGGCGAGCTTGCATTGCTCGTCCTCGGTTAGGACAATGAGGAACGAGTTAACGAGTTTCACCCCGAAAAAGTAACTCTCCCGGCCTGTTGCTTGTTTCGTTTGCGAAGTACCGTGTATCATCTCTGCGCCCCAACACTGCCACCCCCCAACACTCTCGCTCATTCTGAGTCCGCGAGTATTTGCGCGGATCGGCCGGACTCGAGATCGGTCGAGGGTGTCCACCTTCCGGACGCGAGCTCGCCGGAAACTCGAGTCGCGGTGCTCGCGCATCGTCCAGCGAGACAACACTTGGCGACACTTCGATGTAGCTTTCAGACCAGACTCACCCTCCCAGACTAATTCTCTCTCGCCCCCGTCCCTCACACGTTCGCCCGTCGTCCGCGGAGTTACGATCGCATATCCGCGCACGTGTTCTCGCAATGCACGTACGCACACATATACGATTTAACGCACACGATACGCCTGCGATACGGTAAGGTAGAAACAGTTAATTCGCGCGCAACGGACACACTCTTAGAAGCCCCTCGTGTCTGCCGTCTGTTAGAGAGAGCATGTCTCAAGGTGACTGAAATTTTAACAGCTAGCTTGAAGTCCATTCTGAACCAGTATCATAAGAGGATCAACGTTCTCGAGGGGGAGAAGTACGACCTAGAGTACGAAGTCGCCAAGAAGGATTTGGAGGTCGAAAAATAAGAAAAAACCAAAAGAGAGAATGTTTTCGTGTCAAACAGAGAGAGCGCGACGCTGCGATTAACGCCATTGTGCCGATTTACTTGTTATCTCTTTTTCTCTCAATCTCTACTCGATCTCTTTCTTCTTTTTTTCTGTATTTTTTTTCTCTCTCTTTCACGCGTGAAGCATATCTCGCTGTATCTAGCGACTGATTCCGATTTGCACACTCATACAATAAGCTATCCGTAATAATAATAATAATAATAATAATAATTAGGCGTAGACGTCGAGGCTGAGTATTTTTCCTAGCAGCAGCACAGCTCTAACGTAGCGATCGTATCCCTGCTTAAAAGGTCCGTCGGAATCGGAGTTGGCAAGATTTCAAAAGATCTTTGCGGAAAGAAGATCTCGCGTGGAAAAACACAGGCAGACATACACGTTGTCAAATACGTCGGCCGAGGCGGGCGCGAAATGGAACGGATGATCTCCCGTTTACCTTCTTTCTTCGCGCTCTCTTTCTTCCTTCTTTTTATACGAACAAGTCTGACGCGACAGAGCACGACGAAATTCTCACACGAGCTCCTCTGTCCGGTCTCGCCGGTCGTCTTCCCTTCGTCGCCTTCTTTAAGCAGGGATCTCACTTCACGCAATTGACCGAATGCAAGTTTGGCCCGCGACCTTAGTGTATTGTACGTACTTAATCGCGACTCGTAGATTCGCTCAACGTAGTTCTCCAACCTGTCTCAGTAGAGTCGCCTCGTCACCCTTTTTTTTCTCGCAGGCGAGTAGACCGAATTCTGTCCGTTTTACTTGCGAGTAGGCACATCGAAGAGAACCCCTCAACGCCCTCCCCCGCCATGAATTTTTCTCACCGCCACCTATGATTCCCCATTACGATAAATTGCCGACTCACCCTCTCTCATCGCCCTCCCCCCTCTCTCGCCCCTTCCACCGTTCCATTCGCCTTTCGTGTCGGGTTAACGGTCACGCAATTGTCAGCTTCGTGCTTCTCGCTTCCAACGCGAAAGACTCATCATTTCTCTATTCTCCCCCACCCCCCGCCGCCCCCCACGATAATCTCATTTCCTCATGAGTAACCTTCCGCAAAATGGTGATCTAGGGCATTTCCACGGGCAATCGTAGATTGCCGGCCGCACAGGTCTCCTCGCCGGAGACTCGAGTCGGAGGAGGAAACGAACGCGGCGAAATGCGGTTCGTGTCGATGTGATAAAAAAAAAAAAAGAGAAGCAGAAAAAGGCAACGATAACGAATGAAATTCGTGAATTCGCATGCGCGGAGATCACCGTCTCGGCAACGATTTTTATCGTATCGATGATTTTCGTCATATCCGTGACTTCACTCGTGATATTTTTGCAATTTTCCCCGATCGCCGCGCGTCACACTCCATCACGTTCTTCGTTTTTTCTCGATTTTTACAACCGTGCGACTCCCGAGTGTCTTCTCTCTCTCTCTCTCTCTCTTTTCGTTATATGCGATCGCGAGAATACGAATATTATTTTTCCTTTTCTATTCGTCTTGTTTTTTTTTTTTTTTTCGGCGGGAAAGACAGTTGTGACGGCAGGAACGACGACGACGCGAAACACACCACTCAGCCGACGCTACTCTGCCGTTTTTTTTCCCATAAACTTTTTGTTCTTTTAGCCGAGCTGCAGACGATCTGTTCGGCATATTGGAACAGAATGTCCTCACTCGAGGGCGATAAGTATGACCTCGAGAGGCAAATTAGGTTGAAAGAGATGGAGGTAATTACGATCGGCTTGCCTAAAAAAGAGAGAGCCTGTCTCGAGTCTCCTGCATAGATCACACTNTTTTTTTTTTTTTTCGTCCAATTTTCGCTCCCCCGACGCCCCCTCACCCCTCGAACCCGCCCCTATCTCTCTCTCTTTTTCTCAGCCGCACATCCACGTGATTTTTTTAACTCCGCCACGTGCTTGACCGAGCGACACCCTTGGTCGAACGGTTTTCGAAGGCGTTTCTGGTTGACACGGGTCTTTGAACCTTCGGTTCGAGCACGTTTGCACGTCTCTTAGATAGGGGAAATGCCGCGAGAGACTAATGTTCCAAACTCTCTATGAGACTCTGAGGACAGTTTGAGGAGGAAACAAGTTAACCGCATTAACGTGTCTGCATCGCTGCAATGGACCTCTCTCACAACGTCAACGTCCTTGTTGTTTCTGTACTTTTATTCTATCTTTTTTTTTCTCACTCTTTCTCTCTCTCTCTCTCTCTCACTCTATCTCTCTCTCTCTCTCTATCTTTCTCTCTTGCTCCGTCGCGCGCCCATTGCAGCCGCGACGTCACTTTCACGCACACTCTCCTCGCTCAGTCATATCGAGTCCGATCGTGTCGATCGTGTGACGGGAATTCGGCGCCGGGAAATCGGACGGTTACAGCTCGAACGTGCTCCCGAACGAGAACTCGCGCGGGCCTCGACAGGTGCGACGCACCTCCGGACTTGGCGTGTGAGACGCTCGAGGTTCCACGCTCGAGGCGGGCGTCGCGCCCCGAGTCGAATCGGGATCGAAGATCGAAGCTTCGAAGGTGTCCGGCCGAGGACGCGACGGCGACGCGTGTTCTCGCGGTACACCAACAGGGGTGATCACGTGCGCACACGCAACGGGGCGAATTTGAGTGAACTTGCATTAGATGCGTTGAAAATATTCCTTCCAGTTACGAGGCTGATAGTGAACATTACTTGAGTCCCGGAATAATTATTGGAGGGTGTCGGAGAGTAACATTGGAGTAATGATTTACCTGGATCTAGCGTTTCTTTTCCTGCGTGCGGTATTGAAGAAGAATCCGAGAATAATTTTGGTGTATATGCAGGATCTATTTATTTATATTAATCATACATTGATCTACGTGTACACGGGAAAACTAGAAAGACGATTGAAATGAAGAATTTCGGAATGCGACCTGTCCGACCTTCAATTGTCTCATAATTCTACGATTTTAATAAGACTTTGAACTCCTGTTTGTTTTTCTTCCTCTGACACTATCTGAAATGATCATGAATCAAGATTGGTGAGGAAACTGATGGAAGTCGTATCAGCTGGTCCATTACGGAACACAGCGAAGTTAATTACAGAGCTATCAACCTCATAATTAAAAGGAATATTTTCGACACATCTAACGGGACGCACTCATAATTTGTCCCCGCGAAAGAAGAGGGATTTCCGAGCGGATTACGCCCGAACGCGCGTTCCTTGTGGTGAACACATCTCTCTCTCTCTCTCTCTCTCTCTAGGTATTTCCTGGGCGCGCGCGCGATTAGGCATTCGAGCGCCGCGCGACTTTTATTATCGCGCACGTGGAGCGAGAGAGGGACCGCCAATTTACTCAGATCGAAAAGAGTTCGGAAGTTTCGCTTATTTCGGGATCAAGGGCTCTCGCTCATTGGCATTCTGAGCGTCGCGTCGTACCGCCCGCGCTTCGTGCCCGCGCCGTTAGCACTCGAGTCACGCATTTTATATTCTCCGCTAAAATATGTGAAAACGGCTGGGATTAGCATTTTTATATCGATGCGATTAGGAGGATCCTAGTCGAGAATTTTCGCATCAAGTTGACGAGCTCGCGATTATCCCCTCGAACACGATCGCCGGATTTGTTTGTCCGCTGTTTCCCTTCGCAGTTCCGAATCATTTGCGGTCTTGCTTCGCGAGAGATCTGCAGAAATTCATCCACTTAGCGACAATGTCACGCTCGTTTCAAGATTTCACCACTCGATTAATGCAACGACACACATTCGCAGTAATATATTGATATTTTCTATTCAGAATTATATATTTATACTGAGTAGGTAATACCGGACGCAAAGCTGATCGGATAGAAATAATAATAATAATTTCCAGAATCGATCGAATAGAACGAGATGCAAAGACGAGGTAGATTCATTACGGGACCGCGGAGGGTCGCGTTTTTCAAAGCAGATGACGCGTAAAAGAACGCAACCGGTAAAACTTGAGCGAATTAGCCGCTCGCGAAGATTTTCGAATTTTCCGCGATGTTCCGAATTTTCCGCGAAACCCGCCGAAAGTTTTTCACTCGCCATAAGCGAATGAAATTGAATCCCGTCGAAAGGGCCGCGGCTCTCCGAGTCGGCTACGATTGCTCGGGCAATTTCCGCTTCCTCGAGAAACGCGTTACGTAATTGCGGAGCGGCACGCGACGCGACGCGACGTGCGAGGAGCCGTCTCTCTCCCTCTCTCTCTCTCTTTCTCCTCTCTCTCTCTCTCTCTCTCTGCCTAAGCTGTCAGAAAAAAGCAAACACACACATCGAGGTACCAAAGTTTTCTGAGAGACTCTCCGTATTCTTTGTAGTGGAGTTGAAGAAGATTTGCCAAATGTATTACGACCGCGTCTACCTTTGTGAGGGTCAGAAGTGGGATTTGGAGCGTGAAGTTCGGAAAAGGGACTACGAGGTACAGGAAAAGTGCAAAGCAGCGACAACGGCGAACAATGCGAGGAGAAAGAGAGCAACCGTCAAATCGCACGTCTCTTTTGATCATTTCCCCCGTCCCTGAAAACCACCACCGACCACTCTCTCGCTGACCGACTCTGTGTATCAGACGATGAGGGCGACACACATACACACACACACACACACACACACCCGCCTCTCTCTCTTCGCGTTGTCTCCCGTTCTTCGTTCCCTCAACCTGCGACCCCGTTCCCCACCCACTTCTGAAGTGACCGTTTTCGCGCGAGATCGTTTACGTTATTCTCCCGAAAAATCGTTTCGCGTCGAGCCAACAGCGAGCACGGAATNCCCCGTCCTCCCCCGCCCCCCTGCTACCCCCTGTGCCCGTGGTGCCCAAACCACCCTCTCTGTACATACGTTTCTCTTACGATTGTTGTTCTCTCTTTCACGATGTTTTTCTTGGCGGGCTGTGAAGAGACGACGCGACGCGAACGCAGATCCGCTCCGGGGCGCGAGTCGATGGGAAAAGTTCCCAGGACGGGAAACGCGATGGAATCCATCCATTCGCCGACGACACTTCTGATCGCGGCCCGTCACCGGGATCTTTGTAATCTTGATCAGTCCTGTCTCGATGACCCAGCCGACGGCCCCTACGGCGACGACGATGACCTTGATCCCCACCTACTTCTGAAGTGACCGTTTTCGCGCGAGATCGTTTACGTTATTCTCCCGAAAAATCGTTTCGCGTCGAGCCAACAGCGAGCACGGAATTTTTTCCCTTCTCCCCGGATGGATATGAAGTGCCGCACGACGAGAAACTTTTGCCGACCGTATATTTCTGTCGCCGCTTTTTTTCTTTCTTTCTCCCTTTCTCTCTTTCTCTCTCTCTCTCTCTTTCTCTCTCTCTCGCTCTTTTCTTCTATATTTGTTTTTTTCTCTTTTTTTTTTTTCATCGCATAACGCGTATCGCAATCCGCCTCTGTTCACTTCTCCACTGAACGCATACACTGTTGTCTGCTCGCTCTCTCATAACGTGTCTGTCACGACTCTCTCTCTCTCTCTCTCTCTTTCTCTCTATTATCTAACCATAACGTAAACACGTCTCTCCGAGCTTTCTACTAACTCGCCAAAACGGAAGTTCAAAAGAAAGAAGCAGACGAAAATAAATGAAAATAAATGAAATGAGCTTCGCGCCATCGAGTCAGGGCTGGGCAGGCTTACAGAGAAGACGCCGTGTCGCTATGCTCCGTGTAACCGCACTCTCGCTCTCCTTCGCACACTTTGTTCGCGGCGCACGATCAGTGTGTCGTTGATCGATCGTCGATCACGCACATAATCGCGCATTGGCGGGTTCAGATCCGTTGAACGTTGCGTAACACGCGCGTGCGTACGCCGAGAAGGACGATCGTGAAACGAGAAGGGCGCACGGTTCCGCTGTGAATTAGTAGAGCTGCCCTAGATTTGCCGCCAAAGCAGAGCAAAAAGTCAAACGAAAAGGAGAAAAAAGACACACGCAGTCGAAGAAAATATATTACCAGCGGGGATCGCGAGCGATCCCCCTCTTCTTCTTATTCTTCTTCTTCTAGTCTCACGCGAGAATCAAACTGACACTGTATTGCCTGAGACTACGCGCGCGTGTGTGTGCGCGCGCGTGTGCGTGCGTGCGTAGGTGTGCGGTGCAAAATCGGAAAAGTGAGAAAACGCAACGGGAAAGTACATCGATTGTTTACGGGCTTCTTCGGTGTCTTCCTCTTCTTGTCTCTCTCTCTCTCTCTCTCTTTCTATCTCTTTTTCTTTCCCTGTGCATCGTATGTTTTTTTTTTCTCTATCTCTCTGTCTCTCTCGCTCACTCTGTCTCGTTGATTATTTCGTACTTTTCACCCGCCTTTAACATCCCGTCGCACAAAACAATATATATATAATACGTATATATGTATTTATATGTGTTATATATTATTATATGTATAACATGTATTATAATTATATATTATAGATATATATATGTAATGCATATTTCTAATACAATAAATTATAAAGAAAAATATACACGGAAAAGAAGTTCTGTCGAATGAATAAATTTCCAACAGCAGCGCGATCGTAGTAAATCCTCTTGATACAATGACAAATGTCATTAAGAATCCTGTGTTACTGTATTGTTTCATTAATTAAAGTATCGGTTCAATGTTCAATTCAATAGTTTCAATGATATCGCCATTGAATCAAGAAGACCCACTTCAATCACGCTGTTGGAAATTCTCTCGATTCAATAGCATTTTTTCTGCGTATTATACAATACATATATATATATATATATATATATAT